GAAATTCAGGGAAATTCTTTATGTACAAGAATCATTCATGATTTACAGAACACTGTAAGCTATACACAAAACTTCATATTTCATTTCCTAGATCACAGATGTGTGTGCATGCATAAGGAATATATTTTAATTTCACAAGAGAGAATCCTAAGGAATACTTTCTTTCTTTCTTTTTTTGAGACAGAGTCTCACTTTGTCACCCTGGGTAGAGTGCCATGGCGTCACAGCAATGTGTGCCACAGCTCACAGCAACCTCAAACTCTTGGGTTCAAGTGATCCTCTTGCCTCAGTCTCCAAAGTAACTGGGATTGCAAGTACTTGCCACAGTGCCTGGCTAATTTCTCTATTTTTACTACAGATGGGGGGTCTCACTCTTGCTCAGGCTGGTTTTGAACTCCTGACCTCAGGTGACCCACCTGCCCTGCCTCCCAGAATGCTAGGACTACAGGCGTGAGAGTCAACATACCCGGCCTGGAATACTCGTTTTTTTAAAAGAGCCTAAACCTTTTAATTTCTAGAAGCTAGAAAAAATTTTCTAAAACTTTTCCTATTTGTGTAGAGCCAAATTCTTCAGCTAGTTAAAAAAAAAGACAAAAGTCTGACATATTTGATAAATTACATCACTCACAAATCAGTAGATCAGCACATGGTGCTAATGAAGATTACAATTGATGCTTCCAAATGTATCATTTTCTTAAATTCAGTGAACCATCTAGCAAATAGAAATCATTGGCTATAAGAGTATTGGGCAAAATGTAAAGAGGCCAGAGGAAATTCCCAATATGCACAAAGTCAATAGCAGTATGTTTATAAAAAAAGACATATTTTCTTTTGTGATTATCTCTTTCATAATAAGAATCAGAACTGTACAAGTACATCATTACCCTTGATAAAAATATGAAATTGCTAAAAGTAACCAAAAACCATTTAATGAAAACCAGACAGAAATTCACAAATACCACGTGTAAAAATATATTCAAATACAAAAGTACATCTGAAAAAAAGAGATTCCTAAATGGGCAAAGGCTTTTCCTCACTCCCCCTTTCAGTCTTCCATCTCTTGTAATAAAAAGATCAATTTTCTTTGTGTATTCTTTTTAACTTTCAATATTCTGATCAGAGGAAGTAAGAAATAATGAAATCCACAAAATTCATGCCAAATATTAGCTGGAATCCTAATTCATAGTATAAATAATGCTATTTCAAAAGTTTCATCAGAGTAGGGATTTTTTCCACAGCTATATTAAATTTCTAGCTTACATGAACAATCTTGACAGAAATTGATGACCCTGAAATAGTTTTCAGAAACAGTTTTACAGATATATACACACACATAGACAAAATTATGTGTCAAAAATCTTATACACACTTCCACCTACATACATAATTGCTGAGATATACCAGCTGTAATTCTCATAAGCAGCTCAAGAAATCCAGAAAATATCAGATCTATTCTAGGATTCCCCCCAAGCCAGGCACATAATGTATAGTATCTCCCAATTATTTTTAGTTTTTGTGTACAGATTATATGGAAACTAGCAAAACCAGGAAGGTGTATATAGAAGCAGGAACGGAATCATGGTTTAATAATAAAAACTTTTCCTATTTAAAATTCATTTAGAGAAACTGGCCCATTTCTCTTTATTATACAACAGCTTATAAGACTTACCAAATGTTTGTCTACTTATCTTCAATAAATTTCATCACTCAGGTTAACTGATTTTTTTATAATATGTGTACTACCTGAAAGGTAATGTAACTATGTGACTATAAGCCCACCAGGGTATATGCAAATGTATGTCACACATGCACACATAGAAGTCTCAATGTCTTACATTTTAGTCATATTTTCCAGTTGAAAATGGATATATAGTATAATAAACAATAAAACATAATTACCCTTTATTAACAAGGATGTCAATAAAGGAAAATTTAAAAAGGTGGGGACGAGAACAAAAATGGAACATAATTGGTAGCTATTAGGTACACAAAACATCTAAAATTATTCTACTGATTCCATAATTGGATGGCATACACTACTACCAGATCAGCAAAGGTGCAAAGATTGAAATTTAAACCTCCAATTAAGCAATGGTTTGACAGTTCTAATGTCCTGTACCTGCTTGACACCATGACTCAATAGGCATCTCAAATGAAAATTAATAATGCATATAGTATAATCTCAGTTATAAATATCTGATCATATTTAGAAAATGAAAAATCAAGTGTTCAAAAATCATTAGTACTCATCCCAAACAAAAACTTCTACATAGTTTTATTTATTCAAGAAATAGCAATTTGTAATAATAATAATAATAATAATAAAAAGGTTTCTGTGGATTCCCTTCTAACATCTTGATTACTGTCATCTGATCACAACACAACTGCAGCTAACCCGGCTGCCACGTCAGCTTTTCTTCAGGGGCTAGGTCTTTAATCATAAATCAACGAAATGACTAATTCAGTGTTGTTAAAACTAGCGAGTAGAGGGTTGGAGTCATTCCAGTTTTTACATCTTTCAAAAGGTCAATACACCTACTCAATAACACAATAGACTTATCTTTCAAAATGCTTCCTTCTTTTCCAGGATTGAAAAATAACATGTTACCATTTAAATTTAAAGTGAACTTTAACTAGTAATTAAAGTGTTCACTATTTCTGAAATGGTGACCTACTAACATTATGTCAGTTTTAGTCTTCCTCTTGCAGCCAAAAACCTTTCTCTTTCCTGACTGTTTAAAATAGTTTTCCAGCTCTAAAAAACTCATGAAAATATGTATTGTTATTTCCTGCATTAGTCTTATTTGCTACTGTAATGTTTTATGTTAATCTTAAAAAACAAAACCTTTTTTTTCCTGCTAAAGAAGCAACTAATGCAAATGGAGCTTAGATGTAAATATCATCAAAAAACAAGATGCTAATACAATTAAAAGGATTAGTAGTTAAAATGAATTTTAACTATTTACATCTGTTTGCAGTATTATAAGTGATGAAAACCTGTGTTCATATCCTTCATAATAAAAATTTGTTCTGCACTTTAATACAAAGGCTATGTTGCATAAACAGAGGATTTAAAGCTATAGCAGAGTGGCTGAATGAAAGGTAAATGGCAATCTTTCTGGCTCCAGTAGATGCCATTCCCTATCGCACAATGTCTCCCACTCATAAATACATGACAAATACTTCCTCAATCATTTTTTACGAGCAGGGATGCACAGGGGGTAGTCAATGGCTAGCTTGAGGGAAAATAGGAACAGCAGGCGGCAGAAACTGTACAGAAAATGGCTATGTGGTAAATTCTCTTCTGGAACATCACTCAGTTACCCAGTCTTTGATCTTTCAGCTACAATTACACTAACTTCCACAAGATCTGGATCCCTCCCCCACTTCACCCCCCAAAACACATGCATACCAACCCCAAACCAGAGCATTAGTTATACATAAAACTTATTAACATTTGGTTTTATAAAATGGGATCATTCATACTTCCACATTGTTATAAATTAAAATTTCTATTTAGACAAGAGTTTACTTTCAATTGGCTATAACCATATCATCATCACAACTGGTCTCACAAAAAACATGGGGTGTCTGGCGACAGCTAAATCACAGACTGGCGTCTCCTAAACAGTCTGTCTACCATTAGGGTCTGGGAAATGGTATTTACTATACAATTAGAGCCAGGAGTTCTACCTGTAATCATCCAAATACAGGTGTGAGAAGCCCCTTTGGGCAAGGAAACTGACTCATCCCTTTTCATTTAAACTTTGATGTCTGTATTGTTTCAGGAAACCTTACCATTCATACTATAATGAGAAGATTTATTAACTTCAGGTCAAGTAATAAATTTTAAAATTCCTTCCCAAAGGTATCAATTTTTAACACATTAATCATCAGATTTACAAGAATTTAAAAGAAGAATCGATTATTTTAAAGTTAATTTCTTTCTGGAGGACACTGATCAGTTTGAACTATATTTTTATGTTAAATTTATGCTTTCTAGAATATTACCAATGAAGAGGCTAAATTTAGCTTCCTATCAGGAACACAAAGTGTCTTATAGTGATATCAACAGGGCATTTTTAGTTGCAGTAATTTCACAGAATTTATTCTAATGATTTATTGGAGTTAACCATCTGACATTAATTATTGTTTTGGCTTCTAGTCTATGAATGTTTATTTTTCAGTTTAAAGCCTTCTCACTCTTTGATATCATATGGAAATGAGAATTTTTAATGGAAAATTGAAACCATGTGCATCTAAGTACTTAATGAAGTACAGGGAGAAACCCACAAAATATTTTAGGAGAATTCAGATATTTTGCTTTGGATAGTTTTGATTTGTTTATATGACTCAGTAGTATAAAATACTGAGAGTCCAGTGAGGCAAGTCAAAGTGAATACCACGCCAAATGTATATATGCCCACGTGTACACGAACACATGATTTTTTAGACTTGTTAGTGAAAGAAAACCAAAATGATAAGCAACATGTGAATGCACAGTTTTTACCTTACTATACCTTTAAAGCGTTGGTAACAGGTACCTACTTGGCTTTCTCCCTGTCTCCCACAGGCTGTTTTTCTTAAACATTCAGTTTGGATTTTAAGATTTATGCCCAGCTACACCCCTACGTGGATATTTTAAAGTCATATATAACATCAACACAACTAGAAATTCTTAGCTTAAAAACATCTACTGTTGCAACCGCGTTCATTCTCATTCTGCAATGGAAATAAACAATAATATCTAACAAACTTAAATTTGATAAGTAAATATGTATGATTCAGCATTGCCTAATTTAATTCAGTTTTTCTAAATTCTCTCAGTGCAAATCAATTTGGAGACTTATCTCTGAAGGAAAACATAAGGCAAAGAGTTCTCATTCATTTTAAAGTTTTTAATAATAAAAGAGAAAAATATTAAAGTCAAACATGCATGCGTGTGTGTGTGTGTGTACAGACATGATGTGTCTGGGTATAATTGGGGAGGAAAAACTTACCATTTGTTTTTCTTTCTAATGTAGTCTTTTTCAGAAAGATTAACCAAGTAGACCATTGGTTTTGAAGTCAAAAACAAGTGTTTATTCAATACTTCGATCTAAAATGGGAGATGGAGAAAAGAACCCCTTTTAAAACTTGAATAAAGATGGAAAAAATTATTGAGTAATTTGAAAGTAAACTTGCTTTAAAACAAGTAAGCATTTTCTTTCTTCTTCTTTTTTTTTTTTTTTGGTGGTGGTTGTTTTAGCAGGCTTGGGCTGGGTTCAAATCCATCAGCCCTGGTGCAGGTGGCTGGTGCCCTATCCACTGAGCTACAGGCACCACCAGCATTTTCATTTTCTAATTCTCGTTTCCAAAAGATTAGTTGTTATGAATTATCATGTGGGAGGGAATAAGCAATCACTAACAGAAGTAAAAGTTTAGATACGATAAGTGTAAAATAATGACAACTCTAATTTGTTCTCTAAGAAATGAAAGGTAGTAACAGATGGCATTACATTTAAACTTACCTCTTTGTCATTCCAGTCATGATAGAAGCGAACAGGTTTCTTTTGATCTATAACCCAGGATTTGACTTTGCACATTATATCCTATACATGATAGGGGGAAAAAGTAAATAAAGGATGAATATTAAGCATTTAAGAACTAATTATTAAAGTTTTCAAATCCCTAAAATAAAAATAAAATTTCTTTTTTTAAAAATAAAGTTTCTTAATGAAAAGGGGAACTAAACTACACAAATAATTTTTCAACATCTCATTTAAAAACCAAATAATAATAAAACATTGTGGTATTACAATTTTAATATATAAAATGAAGAATATTAGCAAAATTAGTAACAGTCTGAAAAATTTCAAGACAATTCAATCATACCAAAGACTAAATACAAGAGTTAATAACATTTCAACATTACCTACTGATGTCACATGTAAGACAAACATTTAGAGATATACTGGAGAGAGACTATATTTTTTTCCCTTAAAAAGAAAAACAAACAAAATAGACAAAATTGAGCCTGTTATTGATCATCTACCCTCCAAAAAATTAAATCAACTGACCAAAACCCTTTTTATTTTGAATTAATTTTTTGCCAACACCTTCTCCCTGTCCACTTCTCCTAGCCGCACCCCCCACCCCCCCACCTGCCAAAGCCTCCATTACACAATGGCAAGAGCCCTGCTCTGGTGACCTCCAACCAGCTGCATTCACTTTCAGAACATCTCTCTCTGCTGGAAATCTAAAGGCCTTTTAGTTAGCAAGCTAGTGTGCATTCAGAAGGAGTAACTGCAGGAAGAGCCCAATGTGCTTTGTTTCTCTGGCCTTTCTTCACAGAAAGATTAATCATCTGTGAAATGGAAACGGCAAACAGCAAGTGACACAAACTGAACCCTTCAAGCCTTTCCTCATCAGTTTTGTGGTTCTGAATCTAAAAGCTGCGTGTGGCAAGGTTCTCCTTACAGGCAGGTGTTAATAAAAGGCTCTCAGGTCTGAAAGGTCAGACTTAGCTCTTCGAGGAGAAGAAGTATATTTGAGAGTCATCTGGTTTTTTTTTGTTGTTGTTGTTAAAGATAATTTATAGATATGCTTTAAATATGCATTTCTCAAAATTTATTGTAACACAATTATTAGTAACAGATTTCTTGGATTTTCACTGATGTATTTTACTTTCCCCTAATCAATTATTCTCCTATAAATATCCACTTGTATAAATTATCTCAATATTTAGTATACCTTCCTTCCAAATCTTGCGTTACCTACAGGAAAAATAAGGAAAAAGCCTTATATCCTTAGATACTGATTTGAAACCCTCCAGGCAAGGACTTCCCACAGATTTTAACAAGGAAGGGGCAAGCTGAAAACTTTTAATGAAATCTAACATGTTCTGCTTAAGAATAATCACTTTTACTCTTCTATAACTGAATTTCACTCATAAATGTTTAAAAGTGGCTAATGTAACACCATTTCCTACAAGGAGAAGATCAAAGTGCTATATTACAAATGCATTATGATTAAAAAAGCCCTGTGCAGCCTTGCTATTAACTGTTCTTTAAACCCTAAAAGGCTTCCCATAGATCTCACTTGGCACTGCATATACAACCTTTGACAAGTAATGTAGACCATTTTTATTCATTGCCTAAAATTGTAGGCAATTATGTGCGTCACACTGGCCACCTGCAAATTCTGAATGCCTGCTCTAGTTGTCAGTGCAAAAAACTAATGTCGGAGGGGATTAATCTAGGGGGAGAGAGTCCTCTTTAATGGCTCCAGCAGGTGAAATGGCCCAGCTGGTTACTATGATGAGTGGCTAGAACAGCTTATGTAGAGACACGCAACAAGATTATACAAAAGAAGGAGAAAACGGTACCATCTTATATTTGGTTCCATTAGTTTTTTCAATTAAAGAAAGGAAAGAAAAAGTAGACGAAAGAAAGCCAAACCAAAAATAAGGAAAGGAATTCAATTTTAATCATATAAAAAGTGTAAAAATACTTTTGTAACTATAAACATTTTTACAAAACCAAAGCGCCTCAGTAAGTGCTGATCACTAGTGAAGGAATTTCAGTATTTCTCTTTCATTAAAAATAAACTAGACCATTATTTTAGACATAGAAATTTTATCACAAAAGCATTTTGGCATTACTTTTCTTTTTCTCACACCACAAAATTATATTACAAATTAGAACACTCAAATTTGATTTAGAATTAATTCATAAAGTTCTCTAAGAGAGTGTTCCTTACCACCACATTCACATCTTTTTAGAATTTATAAATTATAACCTAATTTTTCAACAGCTGAAAGTAAAATATTTTGTATCCACTGTACCCTTAATTATTCCTAGGAAGATTTAACAGCTGAGAAAAGGCACCTTAGATTTACTAAAACTGTCAGTTTTAAAATAGACTGCTCTTAGATAACATTATATGAATGATCAGTATAAGATATAGTGTGGTGCAATGTTTTTCTTAAATAAATACAAATTTTAATTTTAGCAAAAAATTAAAAGATGTTGTATTCCTTATCTGAAAAACTTCTCACCAGATAAAGAAAAATATTTAGGCTTGTTTGGATATAATACTCAATGGACTGATGCTCATATGTATAAACACCTATGTTAATAATGATGATTAGAAGAAAAGGTTCCAGTTAATTGAATGAGGTTAATGGGGGGGAGGGTTTCCAATACATATTTTACCCACTTTTAACAAATTAGAATATAATAAAAATATAAATAACACTTTCAGCCTTGGTGCATTTATAAGTTAGGAGTTCACATTTCTCTTATTATATAGAAACATATATGCAGGAGTACCAAACTGGATTGTTCTGCTAATTTTAACAAATTCTTAATTTACAAAATAAATTGTGAATATTATTAAGATACACAAAAGTTCCTGGTTATGTGAATTTTTTACAGTTAGATTGCAGTTATTTGAGTGTACTAACTTGAGAGGTAACAGTATAATGCTTGAGTCTACCATTTAACAGGTCTGATACTTTATTGATAAAATGCAGATAAGATCTACTTCCTGGAGGCTGTTGTGAAGATCAGAAGAGATAATGCATATACTATTCAGTGCAGTCCTCTATAAATGTGAGTAGTTGCTATTATTGTTATTGAAAGATTAAATACCAGTGATCTACAAAATAGCAATATATTTTCTTGGGTGCTCCTTTAAAGCATATGTACATCTTTTCTAATCTGTATATTTACTAATCCTTTTCTTCAAATTTCAGTTATGAAAATATTAACTTTCTTTGTGAAATCTCAAGTCAGGCTTCTAATTTCATTATTCTACAAAACTAGCTTTTGCTGAATGATCCCTCAATTGCAAAGAAACTTAATCCAAACTCAGTTTGAATACGCTGCTCTTTTGCTTTGACCCTTGAGATGGCTTTGCATTTAACTTTATAGAAATGCTCTAATTTCTTGATCATTCTTGTTTTTGTTAATAGCAACTACAATGTATTTAGATTTGGGGAGTATGCCCAACTTTCCATAGCTATTGAGTTGCAGAGCTGAAATTCAAATTCAGGTCTGAGTGATTTGAAAGTTCATGCTCTGCCTAACACTTTGGCTTATTTGTCTTAATGCTCCTTGTTTAGCCTGGAGATCCCCAAGGCTGTTGTTCAAAATCTTCTCATTTAGCTCATCAGAAAAATTTAATATTGTTATTTTATTATTAATATTTGGATATAATAGCTGACTGTCAATCCATGTATCACAAAAATACTTTTCTTTGCACACAATAATAACCCAGTCATTAGACTTTCCTATGCTTCTTTGATATTCTTCAGTTCCCACAGCAAGATTATTAATCTATGATCCATAAATGGATTTCATGGGTTCCTTAACATCTAAAATCATATGTAAAGAAAGCTCTGTTGTGTGCCTTTGACGGAAGATGGCACATATTTTCCAAATGTTTTTCAAAGGGATCCATGATGCAAAAATCAAAAAACCATGGTTGCTAGTGATTCTGTGCCAATACTCAAATGTTCAACAGTCAATTAAGTAAATGTTCTAGGCCCCTGGACTCCTAGACCAGAGGTAGACACTGATCTAAAAGTTGCTTCAGCTACAACCTCCACTCAAAAAGATCAATACTGTGCTGATCCACACTCTACCTACTATAATGTTTATTTAACACAATTTTAGTTAAAATCATAACAGGGATAGAGAACATTATAAATCAAACATATTATTTTTACAGAATTAGTTACTTGAGAGTAAAAAAAATTTAGAGAAAAAATGTAACTTGCCCTACTATGGTTAAAATAAACCATAAAACTACAGTAATATACAGTAGAACAGTATAACATGGCACAAGAGAGATATAGATTTTAAAAAGCCATTAATTGGAGATTTTCTAGTAAGTTACGGGATGATAATATTATAGAACACTGTATCCATTAAGACAAAATATATCTGAATGTACGTTTGCATGAGAAAAAGTAAAAAAAAAAAAAACAAAACACTAAGTGAAAACAGCAGGTTCAGAACAAGAAAATAAAGTTAAGAATATAGACACTTTGGCATCAGATTTGAGTTCAAGTCCTGGCCCTACTCCTTTAGCTGTGTAACCCTGATTGTTCCTATAAAATTGGGATAATAACTCCACTTGAAGATGCAGTGTATATGAAGATTAAATACATGTAAGACAACTGGCACAGTTTCAGGCACACAGTAAATATTCAACAGACAATATGGACAGTAGAATGCATAAAGTAATTCAATTTGTGAGGAATTCTAAAACTATCTGTTTAAATAAATATACTCAAATAATGAAACTGGACAGACACTACACCAAATTTTTAGTAATAGAAATTTTTAGAAGCTTAGATGCCAGAGAACTTTTCCCTTTCTGCCTTTCCTTAAAACTATAATGATGTTTTTAAATTTTTTAACCAATTAAGTATCATATTTATAATAGAAAAAGATAAATGTATATTGAGAGGGTGAGAGAGAGAGGAGGACTTTATCTATTCTCTGCCCATCACCTGTAATCCTAAAATTTGACGGCCTTAAATGGATAGACTTAGTAGTTTATTGAGGTAACTAACTCTTACTCTGTCATGATTATAACTTCT